CGTCCCCAAGTCAGCCGCTGCTGAAACTGACCAGGGGCTGACTACAGGAAGCCCGAGGCAGAGTTGCTCTTCCCCGGGCCTCCTGGAATCAGCTGCTGATCAGTTTCAGCAGCAGCTGACTTGGGGACGCCTGGGTTTCTTAAGTTGAATCCGTATGTAAGTCAGAACTGGCATCCAGATTCAGCCGCTGTTGAAACTGATCAGTTTCAGCAGCGGCTGATGCCAGTTCCGACTTACATACAGATTCAACTTAAGAACAAACCTACAGTCCCTATCTTGTACGTAACCCGGGGACTGCCTGTATTACATGTGCTGGATGTGTTGTTTTGTCTCTGGAAAGCTATGCTGGGAAATTTGTGTTCGTTTGTGTGGGTTGCAAGTGAGGGGTGTATGTTGTCAAGAGGATTTGGGATTATTGTGTGTGCTGGTTTTGTTGTTGTGTGGGTGTGTTACATATGGCAGTTGTGACAGATAATTCACCGTCTGCTTAGTCTCCTACAGCCAATGAAATTCTTGCATGCAAATTAGCTTTAAGGTGGCGATTGATCTAATTACCCCTGATAATTCAATGATTTAAGATGCTTGGCATGAAATAGATGGCTGCTTTGAAGTCACATAGATATAATTCATAAAGTCAAAATGTCTGTGAACTTAGACACAATCTACAGATCCCAGTGATGACTAAACCTGGTGTGATGTTCTCAACCAAAAGAAGTCTCAGCCATGCTTGTTGCTGTTGATTCAAGCTTACTTCACAGCCTTTCGAGTCTTAGAGTGACAATCCTGGAATCTATTTTATAGAGTTTTCTTTACACAAATATATATTCCTAGTCACAATCTAGTTCTTTGATTATATAGTGCCCCTAGAATTACTAGCATTCCTGAATATTTTCTGAGAGCAACACTCAAAGATAAATTCCATTTGTTCGGTTGTTTTTTTTTTCAGAAATTTTATAATTGATGGACTATCGGTAGAGAGAAACCATGTTCTTGTTAGGATAAATCTTTTGGGAGGACCAATGGAACGGATTTTGCCTCAAAGAGTACTAAATAAGGTTAGAAGGAAAAGTTTTAGTTGTTTTTGTGTTGGTTCTAGTACTTATGTTTTCTTACTGCTAATTCACAATATAAATGTTATTTAGTATCAAGAGACAATTGCCTGCATATAAAGAGTGTTAACGCTTTCCATTGTAGAAAAAGAGATTTGCATCACAAAGATGGTGGGGTGGTATTAAGTGCTGAGGTAATGTCATGTTCATGTAAAGTTTTTTTTTTAATATAAATCTGTTTCTTTAACTGTGGAAATGATTTTTTTAAAGATCTTTAATGGATTTGTATCTGTAATGTCTTCTTTTTATTAGATGGTTTTACCTACAGGAATAGTTTGGTAGGGGCATGAGAGTATGTTCCCCACAAACTGCACGCCATGGGTAGGTATGGAATTTGCCCTGCTAGTGTGACCCCACTGGCCTGGATGGAACTGCCATGTCAAATATATGCCTGTTTACATTTCATCGGCACTATCAAATACCTGTAGCTCTCATCAGTATTGTCACAGTGCAGTGTTTATTAAGTAGGTTCTTTGGTTAAGTGCTATGATTTTCTACTGATTGTCATTCTTGTAAGGAGAAGATGGAAATTACTGTCAGCACAGAAAAGGCAACTAGATCAATAAAATAAATTGGAAATACAGTATTTCTTTTAAAAGCTACAATTTCCCTTTCAGTGAACAAAATAGTAAAATCAAAGTTCTTAACAATAGTTACCAGAGCAAGTTGGTAAAATCTTCTGGCTCAAATACTTACTGAATTACATATTTGTTATTTTAATTGTAGAAAATCATATTGGTAAATTGTAGTGTCAATAATTTTGGCAAATCTGTTGCAGATTAAATATACAATAAGCAAGCTTCACTATGTGCATATATAGTGTTGAGAGGCAGAATTGAACCTGGGACCTCTGGAGCTTAGTGTATGAGCCTTGCTTTGCTGCTTGTAAACAGCTTGTAACAGGCTGGTGCTCTGTTAAAGTCATAGAGCAAACTCATTCTTTCTCTCTATAAGTGGTCTGAGGGCTACATGGGACAATGAACAATACCCAGTAAGAGAGTGTATTACATATGAGTTGTGTAAACTGCTATTAATTTATCTTCTAATATGAGTTTATGGTTTTTTTTTTTCTAGGGCACTGATCCATATCCCTGGCCAATGTTTTCATCGTACCCCTTGCCAAGGTGCTATCTTTCAGAAGCTACTAGGAAAACTGATGTTAGACAAGGTACTACATATATTAACATTTCAGATGCCAAATAAACATGCAGTTTATTTTCATTCTTTTCTCAGAATGAAATCTTATGAATAATCTGGAATTTATATTATTGGAACCATTTGTGGCCAAATGAGTTAATTTATTTTTAATTGTGTGGCTTTGTATACCAGCAATTCTGAAGAACTCTGTTTAGAATTTATTTCTTATTCAAACTTCAAGATTAACCTTGTGATTAATTTTAGGTGGTGATACATGGGACATATATACATAATCTTGTCTGGCAGCTGGGGTAAAACAATATATTTTAGCTACAGGATTTCTTGTGTATTGTGTTCTTGATTTGTGTCTGTTTGCAGAGCCTACTGGTATATGAAATAGAGTTTATAGCAGTTGATTCCTTCATTGAAAATCAGTGTGGAATGTATGTTAAGTGAGTACAGGTTGGATCTCTGTGGTCCAGCACTCTTGGGACTTGGCTGGTACTGAATAAGGAAATTTGCTGGACCAGGGGAGGTCCCCTGTCACTGGCCTTCTGGGTATCCGCCGACTGCTTCTCGCCCCAGCAACACCCACTGCCTTCACCCAGCTGTGCTGCCAGCCCTAGTTGGACCCCTCAGCCCTGGGACTCCCAGGTATGCCACCTGAGTCCCCTGCCACAGGGCTCCTAGCCACTCCATGGAGCTTCCTGCACTGCCTAAGCCCCTGCCGTGCTCCTGACTGCATCACCTGAGCCCCTGCTGCAGGACTCCTTATGCCACCAGAACCCCCTGCCTCAGGGCTCCCCCTTGCTACATGGGACTCCCCAGATCGCCTGAGCCCATGTCATGCACCTGGCTGCACCACCAGTGTCTTGTACAGAGCTGCTCCCTGTAGCGATGTTCTACCAGCAGAACCCTAAGTTCTCCCTAAGTAGCGCATTGCTACAGAGAGCAGCTCTATACAAATCACTGGAGCTCCCCACACCACCTGTGCCCCTTGTGCTGCTGGACTCCCTGCACTGCCCAAGCCCCATCCACAGGACTCCTGCCAGTCCACAGATGTTGCCGGACTAGAGAGTCCCAATTTAGGGAGTCATAACCTGTAGTCCGTTGTGGGTTTAAAGTATATACAGAAATCATTTTAAGATTTTATAGTATACTAGAACTTGGTGAAAAATTTATAATGAATAATTCCTCATGTGGAATTTGCCTGTTTGGTTATCTGTGAGCTGTTTGCAATATCCTCAGATGTATTAATGATGAGAAAATATTGGTAATTTTTTTTCAGCAAATAGTTCTTGATTGGTCATTCATGAATATTCAACTTGGTGAGAATGCTCAGAATTTAGACTAAGCAAACTAATTTCATAACTTACATAGTGTAAGTTCTTCTTTGAGTAGTGTCCCTGGGGTGCTCCATTGTAGGTGTCAGGCTGCCCTGGTGCCGCAGGTCGGAATTTTCCATGGTAGCTGGTAGAGCTGTGCATGTGCACATGCACGTTCATGAGACACCTCGTTCTGTTTTCGCCTTGTGCTTCACGTGTGGCCTGACCCCCCTTCAGTTCGTTCATTGCTGCCCTCGGCTGTAGATGGACCTCATATCTCTCATCAGAGATTACCTCAGGATCATTAGTATCGGTGCCTGCCACAGTGCTAGCACCGACGAAGTCACGTGAGCTGGATCAGTCTTCCATCGTGCCTGCACCATCAGCACTGAGTAAACCTCTTGTGCTAAGACCCATTCCAAGTCGAACTGAACACCGCCCAGAGCTGATAGCCCAGAACCAACTTTCTCACCGACACCAACACCAACTTTATCACCCTCATCAGCACGGCATTCAGTGGCACTGATAGAGCGTTTTCCTCGAGCTCAGTGCTCATGGTCCCAACATGCTTTTGTGCATGCTGAGGTGTTACCCAGAAACTCAGTAATGATTAAATTTAAAACTAGGATCTGGTTGGAGTTTGTTCCTGACACCAGAAGAGCAGGGGTCCCAACACTGTATCTGTCACCAGTGGATAATTGCCCAATGAAAACACAACTCAGGTATCTTTAACAAATCTATTAAAAGAATTTGGAACAGTACACAGCATATAACTATACAAAACAACAGTAAAAACCCCAGTACACCAGTTAGAAATCCAACACCCCTCAAAATAGAAGAAAAGAAGATAGGAAAGTTCCCCTAACAAACAGGTAAGTTGAATATTACGGTATCGGATGGAAGAAGAGCTGTGACCTAGGACCTGTAACTGATTAGCAAGCACTCTGCTGCCCAGGAGGAACACTAGATGATCCCTCAATGTCACTCAGGGCTACCCACGGACTCCTTTGGATCATAGAAGGCTTTCACCAGGGCCAGCTCTAGGTTTTTTGCTGCCCCAAGCAAAAAAATTTTTGGCCGCTCTCACCCCCCCCCCTTTTTTTGTTGGCTTTTACACACATTTGCACTTTGCGATGGTTTTTTTATTGTTTTGTTTTTTTGACTGTTTAAAATTTTTAAAAAAAGAAAAGAGAAAATTTGTAGTTAGTGAAATAAAACAATTTAATATTAACAAAAATCACAATTACAAACATTACTGGTAATGTTAAAAGAATGCGTAATGCTCTAGCAGTGTTTGGAGTGAAAAAATCATTTCTTGCTATGAATTCTAATACTTTTAGAGACGTTTTAGGACTTACTACGTCAGATAAAACTATTAATTCATCATACAATTCTACTCCATCAGTGTCAGCAGCGTTATCACTACTGAGCACTAAATGTAGGTCCTGACAGTGCTTCATGAGGACTTTAAAAAACTGATATTTAATATTTCCAATATCGTATAATTCAAAAATTTCACAAAGACCATGTAACTGATCAAATCTGTCTTCAATGGAAGTTATAGCTACATCCAAAATACAATAGAAACACTCACCTTTAAACCTTTCTTTTGGATCAAGAATAGGATCATCATGAGCCTCATAACATGACTGTCTTGGTTTTTTTTGAGGACTAATTGTTGAGGTGCAAACGTCGGTTCAAAATCAAGATCTTCTGCTATTATTGTTGGTTCTTTGACAGTTTCTTCAAATTCTTCATCGGAACGGTATTTTTAAAAATATTCCAGCATTTTATTCAAAATCGTCTTTGCTTCAGATATGTCTATTAGACATATCCGAAGCAAAGGCGATTTTGAATAAAATGCTGGAATACTTTTAAAAAATACCGTTCTAATAGTTATGTTCTGCATAACTTTGTTGGCCAAATTAATTTGATTTAGAATATTATGCCAAATCACTTTGCAACATGAAAATTGAAATTGCATCATTTTTTGAGCCAATGTTTCAGCTTCATGTCGAAATGAAGGATCATATGACAAGTCCTGGCTTATTTTGAATAGTGCATCGTAAATCTCTCCTGATTTGTTCGGTTTTGCTCAGATCTTGAGTACAATCAACTATAATTGAGTAATATTTGGCGTGTTTCAAATCCGATAAAATTTCATTATGCACTCCATTAGAAATTAATTGTATTAAATCATTTTGTGTATTTTTCCCAAATAATGGGTGTGAATCTCTACATTTTTCATTCTTCGTACATGCTCACCCATAACACTATCAAATTTTGCCAATAATTCAACCCATTTCAAGAAATTTCCATTGTTATTCTCATATAAAATGTCCGAGGATCCACGGAATGCGAGGCACTGTTTGGCTAGGAAATTAATGATTGCCAGTAAACGTTCCAACATAGCTTGCCAACGTAGAATTTCTGAATTTAGTAGATGTTGCTGTAATGCATCAATTGTTGTACCGGAACATAATCTGTTTGAGAGCTCAATCCAATTGAGGGCTTGGCCCTCTCCAGGCGCTTCCTATGGACAAGCACCCCTCACTTCTGACCAACAGCTCCCACAGCCAGCCCATCCCTGCCCCCCATCTGCTAGTGCCCCTCACTCCTGACCCACAGCCCTGCCAGTGCCCCTCACTCCCAACCCACAGCCCTGGACATCCCCGCCTCGTTCCCCTCCTCCCCCCGCCGACTGGGGGCCAGTACCTGGAGGCTGACCTTTCCTGACAAATTTCCTCGGGGTCTCCCTGGAGGAGCTTGGTGGCCTGCTTGGCCTTGCGCTGGAGGTTGCTGATGAAGACGGGGAGTTATTATTTCGAAATAATTTTCCTAATACAGACATGCTTTTAAAGAGACAAGGCGGTGAGGTAGTGTTTTTTATTGGATCAACTTCTATTGGTGACAGAGACAAGATTTCCAGCTCACACAAAGCTCTTTTTCAAGAGTGGGAAATGTACCTTAAATCTCTACCTTATTGTTCTTATAGAAATAGGCTACTTTCTAATTGTGGTTTGAATGCATGAAAAACAATTAACACAAATAGTTAAGGAAATATAAACTAAGTACCAAATATAGAAGGGAGAACTTGTGCCACATCTAAAACTCAAGTGGTTTACAGCTATACCTAATCAATCTTCAAATCAATTACAATCAGCTAACAATACCTCTGAGACTTAAGGAAAAAAATTAAAATAAAAAAATAAAACAGCATTAAAACAGCATGGCCCTTTTCAGAACGAGTACAGGAACAGGGGAGCGGTTGAGCACTAAGACCCAGGGGAGGCATTGTTTCCCTTTGGTCTTTAGGCTTTTTGCCGGCAGCCATTTTCTGTTCTTGTTCAAGCCAAAACGCAGGAACCTGGTAAGCAGGGGGTCTGTAGGACTGGGGTGGGGAGGAAGGCCGGGGGCTGAGTGTTTGTAGGGTTGCCAGGTGTCCAGTATTTTTACTTCCTGGCCAGGAAGAAAAATCAGAAAATACTGGACATTTCAGGTGTCCGGTATTTTCTGAATTTTTTTAACAGACAGGAGGCGAAAATACTGGAGTGTCCGGGTCAGTACCGGACACCTGGCAACCCTAGGCATTAGCACCCTGTGAAAAGGGAGAGGAGCAGAGAGCTTATAAGAAGGAGCAGTACGGCCCCTTGGGGCAAAGAGAGACCTGCCCGACCCCCACCGCAGCCTGTCCTCAGGAAGAAGG